TTTAAGACCCCAAAAAAAAAAAAAAAAAAAAAAGAAAAAAGAAAAGACAGAAATAGACTTGATGGACAGTAAGAGAGGAGGTATGTGGTTACAGAGGCAGAGATTACAGTGATGCTATCATAAGCCAAGGACTGCCAGCAGTCATCAGATGAGGCCAGCATAAATTGTCCCTTAGAACTTCCAAGAGAGTAGAGCTCCAATGACATTTTGCTTTTAGCCCAGTGAAAAAAAAAGAAAAAAGAAAAGACAGAAATAGACTTGATGGACAGTAAGAGAGGAGGTATGTGGTTACAGAGGCAGAGATTACAGTGATGCTATCATAAGCCAAGGACTGCCAGCAGTCATCAGATGAGGCCAGCATAAATTGTCCCTTAGAACTTCCAAGAGAGTAGAGCTCCAATGACATTTTGCTTTTAGCCCAGTGAAACCAATTTTGGATTTCTGGCCTCCAGAACTGTGAAAGAATAAATTTCTGTGGTTATTTTATTTTTTGAGATAGGGTCTCACTGTGTAGTTCAGGGTGACCTTGGACTCACTATGTAGCCCTGGCTGGCCTCAAACTCTCGGTGATCCTCCTGCCTCAGCCTCCCAAGTGCTGAGATTACAGGCGTGTGGTGGTACGTGCCTGGCCAAATTTCTGTTGTTTTAAACCACCAAATTTGTGGTCATTAATATTGCAACCACAGAAAATTAATATAGATGGCTTGGGGTAGAATTGGGGTTCCCCAGAAGGACATAGGTGTATTTGGGTGTCACTGAGAGCAGTTTGAAGGCATAATTAGGGTCCTCTTGAAAGCATTTTGGTGCAGTTGGAGATACTGAGGGTATACAAGGTCATAAGGAGCTGGTTTGGAAATGTAGTTGGGAGACTGTGGCAAGGTAAATGGGCTATTGCAGACCAGGTTAGGGTGTAGTTGAAATTTGGGAGATTTTGATGGTATGGTTGGAAAAAGTGCAACATGTTTTATGGTGTAGTTGCACAAAATTTAAAACAAGGTTGGGTACAATAGTCATTAAGAGTGGTTTGGGGTGATAGTTTGGGAGTGCAGTTATTAGACCAAGGAAAGGTAGTTAGGGGATTTTTAGAGGCAGAGTTGGGGGCTTCTGGAAGTTGAATTTTAGGGATGAAGCTTGTAGTCATTGGAGGTTTGGATATTTTTTTTTAAACTTTTATTTTTGGTTATTTATTATTTATTTTCTCTGTACCGGGGATCGAACTCAGGACCGAACTCAGGACCTTGTGCTTTCAAGGCAGGAGCGGCACCACTGAGCTAAATCTCTAGCCCCCGCCTTTTTTTGAGACAGGGTCTTCCTATGTAGTTCAGGCTGGCTTTGAACTTCCTGTATAACGCAGTCTGACCTCAAACTCACTTTGATCCTCCTGCTTCAGCCTCTCAAGTGCTGGAAATACAGGCATGTGTCACCTCATCTGACTTGAAAGTTTTTGTCTTTTAAGAGACAGAGCCTTCAATGCAAGAACAAGTATGAGTCTCTGAGTTCAGTCATCAGTACCACACAAAAAAAGAAAGAAAACGATGGGGGTCTTACCATATTGTTCAGGCTGACCCCAAATTCCTGGGCTGAAGCAATCCTCTAACCTTAGCTTCCTGAGTAGGGGGGACTACTAGTACAGTGTGCCATGCTTTCTTGGGAGTGGCTAAAGGGTGTTGTCTAGTGAGGGCTGTTGGAAGATGGTTCAGGGTTAAAAGTGAGGCTGTTGGAACATAGCTTAGTGATAATTGAGGCTCAAAAGAGTAGTTGGTACATTTGAGAGCTGATAGGTATGGGGTGCTATTGGGGAGTCTGTTTTGAAATCTAGATTTCAGAGGGCTATTGTGAATTGTAGTTGGGGAGCTATTAGCCGGTAATTTGAGGAGCAGTGAAAAGATCATTGGAGGGGCCGGGCATTTAGCTCAGTGGCAATGCGCCTGCCTTGCAGGCGAAAGGTCCTGAGTTCGATCCCCAGTACCACACACACACAAAAAAAGAATAATTGGGTATAGTGGCTCACATCTGTAATCTCAACAACTCAGGAGGCAGAGGCAGGAATATTGCAAGTTTGAGGCCAGCCTGGGCAACTAGTGAGACGCTGTATCAAAACAGGGTTGGAGGGCCAAGGGTTTAGCTCAGTGGCTCCGCCGCCTGCCTCGCAAGCACAAGGACCCGAGTTCAATCTCTGTTACAAAAAACAAAAATAAGAAAACAAAACAGGGCTGGAGATGTAGCTCAGTGTAAAATCCTGTGTTCAATTTCCAGTATCCAGTACAAAAAAGCCCCAAATCAGTAAACTACTATTCAGCAAGAAAATGGACAAACTACTGATACCTGCTTATAAAATGGATGCACCTCAAAAACTCTATATTAAATAAAAGAAGCCAGGGCTGGGGATTTAGCTCAGTGGTTCTGCCTCCTGCCTCACAAACACAAGGTCCCGAGTTCAATCCCCAGAAAAAGAAGCCAGACATAAATTTTCACTTATTTCATTTATATGAAATGTCCAGGACAGGCAAATCTAGAGACAGGAAGTAGATTAGTGGTTGTGTCAGGTTGGGAATGAGAATGGGGACTGTGGCATGAGGTGATATAAATACTGAGATGAAAAAAAAAATAGATGATATAAATGCTCTAAACCTGGTTTATGGTGATTGGAGCACACTTTGGTAAATTTACTAAAATTGTTGAGCATACTTATACTTAAATGGGTGACTTATGCTATGTAAAATACGACAATTAAAATATTTTAAGAGATCATTGGATGCCTGTGTTCCCAGCATTCTGGGATTGAAAGTTTGAGCATGGCCTGTGCAACTTAGCTAGACCCTGTTTCAAAATTTAAAAAAGGGCTGAGAGTGCAAAGGCTTTGGGTTTAACTTCCAGTACCAATAAATAAATAAATAAATAATTTAAAAAGAAAGCCAGGTATGGTGGCACACACCTGTGAGCTCAGCACTTGGGTGGCTGAGGCAGGAGGATTGCTGCAAGTTCAAGGCCAGCCTGAGCTACACAGTGAAAGCTGGTCTCAAAAAAGTTTTTGTTGTTGTTGTTGTTAAAGAAAGGATATTGGAGAATGCTTTGTAGTTTGAATTCCTGAGGTATTATTTGGCATTCAGTTAAAAGGCATTGAAAGCCAAGGGTCTGGGGATGTAGCTCAGCTGCACTGCGCCTGCCTGGCAAGTGCATGATCCTGAGTTTGATCCCAGTACCA